CTTCCAGATAATTAATAAAGATCTTAACTGAAACCACTTCCCAAGTAGTGTAGCCATTTATCATCCTTGGAGACAGTTTTCAGTTTTAAGATAATGAAGACAGCATTTTTTTTAAACAGAAGCTTATAAAGAAAAAAGGTGGACTCTTCTCACATTTACATAATACTGTACCACAGACCAAACAGTTATTCTGCTGTGCTGTTAAGTTGGGATCCCATTAGTCATTAATAAGCTAAAGCAGCCTGACTTCATTAACTTCTTATCTTCTTAGGTAACTAAAATACAGAGAGGAAGTTAGATCTAGTGGCAAGAGAAGTTAGCAAAGGCATGATATTCAAACCAAAACTGTGCCTACTCTTAAATACTTGTAAACAGCTTCTTAGGGCACCTATACAGGTGACAGATATCTGCTCCAACATGTGGTAATTACCACACATTGGAGCAGACTTGATTAATCAAATCTGCTGGAGTGTGCTAATGAGCATGCTCCAGTAGCCTCCACATCATGTGTATTCAGCATGCTTGACAATGGTGGTGGGGGTACTTTAACTCAAGCTTGTTGAACAAGTGCCCCCACCACCATTTTCAAATGCAGAACACTGAATACATATGATGCTGTGGGCACTTTAATTAGTGAGGCTGTTGGAGCTACTCTAATTAAAGTGCTCCCCCCTCCACCCTGGAGTACATGTAAAGATGTCCTTAGTCATTGTAGCTAAACAAAAAAAGTCACATTAAAACTATTTTTCAGTGGAATTTTTTTTGACAAAATGATTTTTTTTAAAGAAAAAGGTGTGCTTTCTGTGAGACAATCTATTACCCCCAAACCAAAAATGTTTTCATTGTCAGCAGAAAATACTACTACTACTAAATCAGCAATGTCACTGTGATGCCCTGTGGCAGTTGTGGATCATGTACTTATGCTTTGATCCTTCTCTGTGAGCTAGGATTCCCCAGTAAGACTGTTTTCCATGATGTACCACTGCCAGGGACTCTAAGGAAACACTATGATATCTCAACAAGAGAGTGACATAGCACATCATAGGTAATAATGTTTAGGGAGCTTCACCCATTAAAAAAAGCATGAGGGCATGAGCATTTGTGAATCAACATTTTTGGATTTCAGCCCAAATCTTTTGGTGTTGGTTAAACTATTTTTGGGTTTCTTTTCTTTTTCTTTTGCTTCTTTTTTTGTCTAAAGTTTTTTTCATCTTTCTCAACATTTTCCATGGAAAACCCGATTTTTATTAGGCATTTTGACTTGCATGTGGAAGGATATGTAGACATGCATATTCATGTGAAGAGTTATATGTATATGCAAGATTAAAAGCATGATTTGGATAGTTAGATGTGGTATTTCCCCTAGTTTTTTTTTATTTTCTAGTTACTTTTAGCGTCTTGTTGATTTATATTTTTGACTTGGATTACTTCAGTATGCAGGACCAACTTTTTTGTCTGCTGTTTGTTCTTGTAATTTGATTGGTGTCTGGGGTACTATCTTGCAAAAAAAAAAATTATTTGCCTGTATTTGGAAATTTGGTGTTTTGAAAATACTAAATACTAAGGTTTTTGCTTCTAAATGAAAAAAATCCTGGGAACAAATAGACTGGTTTCTCCCTAAGTTTATTCATATAAGTAGGTATACGATTTTAGATTTTTCAAGAAAACAGATTTCCTTTTATAAAAGACCTCGAAAACACCAGATTTGGGGCTAGGATATGAAATTAATAATATTTGCCGCAGTCTCCTATTTTTTCCTTTAATTTATTAGAGAAAAGGGTCTCATTTTCAAATTTGGATTCACTAATTCCATACACACTTTTTCAAACATTGCTCTGGAGTAATGTTTAAGCTCATTATTTATTTATGAGTATCTACCCCTCTATACTGAAGTTGACAGTATCTTCTCTTAATAGTTTGTGGTTTATTTGTGCATGTGTATGTGTGGAGGTCTCATTTGTTACTTAGGCTGCAGGATTGCAAATGAGACCAGATCAGGGCTTCTGATAAAGTATACGTATTGTCTACAATTTTAGCCTTTCGTGCTGTGCAACAATAGATATTTATGAAAATAGGTTAAAATCTTGAAAATGGAAGAAGTCAAAAAGAATGTGACAGGATGGGGCAAGATGTGTGGTTATGAAAAAAAATCACTCTCAAGGTTTGAAATGAAACCGTGAGTAAGAACAAGGAGACTGACGCTCCTAAGAGAATGAGCAAGTTTGTTGTGGAATATTTGAAGGACAATAACAGAGGAGAAAAAGAGTTACAAAGTTTTGGATGAATCATCTATGCTGTTGAGTATTGGTACATGTGCCTGTTGTAACTATGAATTAAATGGATAATGAGCAATTGTGCAGAAGCAATAGATTACTGTATGTCAATGTCTTCATACACTTGCCTTTTCTTTTCCCACCAGTGTTTTTCAACTGTTTTTTTACTAAGTTCATCTCTTCTTTGCTCTGTATATTGCTGTGTTTGTACTATAGTAAATCATGTGTTTTGAAAACAAAAAAACCCAACTAAAATAATGCATGCATTGAGTAGAAGATTTCTGTCTGCTATGGCAAAGCAAAGCATTCAAAAGATTACTTTCCATCATCAGTTTCAAAAAGAAAATGTGTTTATCCTTATGTGCCTCTTCTGCCATCTGGCTGCTAGCTTTCCTTATCCTTCCATAGCAAAATATGCCACTATTCCTTAAAACTAGTATCTCCAAAACCCACATCTTGTGGTATAAAAAAAACAACATTAGAAAAAATCATTTCTAAAATCCAATAAGTTGTTAATTAAAGCAATTTCACCTGCATACTGAGGTGGAGATCTAAAAATCTTGTCCTTTTCATCTTACCTTTTATTGGTTATGGGTCTTACTATGTTTTTAGAGAGCTTAGAACAATGGAGCCCCAGTCTTTGCAGTATTCAGCACTCTGATTACACAAGTAATATAATGTCAGTTCACTCTTTAGCTCTTTTAAACAAGTCTATGTACTAATCGGAATTTATTTTCAAATTCTGACTGTTCCAAAAAACAAATTTTATGTATAGCAGTAACTCTTCTATGCATTTTGATTCCTTTTATGTATAGCAGTAGGCATTTTAATGAATTTTCTTGTTTACCTGTCAAAAAACAAAGCTAATAATAGAAGTCAGTGATCAACACAAAATTTTCTACCTTTTTTTCCAGCTATGGTTCTGTTCATTTCAGGAGGTTTTTTATGGCAATGTGTCAAAAGGCGTGTGCGCACAACACTTTAAAGTGGGCTAAATGCTTTTGCACCTCTTTAATTGTGTTGGTGCTTGCACACCTCAGCAGTGTATTGCACATTAATTCCAGCCACTGTAGGAAATTCAGCGGCGTAATTGCGCCTTAAATGACTTGGGGTGCAACAAACTGAAACTCCTTCGAGGAGTTTTAGTGTGCTGCCCTTAGAGCCACGGAGCAAAGCACCAGGCTCCATGCGGCTCCATGGTTTTGCAGGAAGCCCTGCAGGCAGCCTGGCAGCAGCTTGGGAAAGCAGGCTCTACCCAAGAAAAGCAGTAAGCCTGATCTCTTTTTTTTCCCACCTGGAGCCTGCCTGAGCTGTGCAGGGGCCTGGTGCTTCCCTACATGGCTGCGGTGCTCCCCAGGACCGCCCAAGCCAGGTGCCTGTGGGTGGATGCCACTCGGGGGGGTAGGGGAGCACA